TTTTTTTTGGGACCGTTTCTCGATTTATGCGTATCATCCTTGGGCCGGGGCCATGCTAATCTTCTTTGTATCGTTCCAATTTTAATGGATGTCCCGAAGGACCTAAACAACATTTACCTGGGCACTGTATCGAAATTTTTTACCAAATTTGAATTAAAAATCAAATACAGAAAATAAACACTATGATAAAAATAAGAAAAAATAAAAAGAGAATTAAAATGAGTGAGTGTGGCAGGACCTTTTCAACACCGCCATCTTTGCCGATTTTTAATCATTTTTTGGCATTGAGAAATGCCCTGAAAAGTTATCGATATGTAGTTTACATAATCAATAACTCATTAAAATTTTCTCAAGAACTAATAATTTTTTTTAGGCCCCGAAATAAAGTGAAAACAAAAAGTTAAAAATGAAAAAAAACAAAATAGTGAGTGGGCGAGCACGTTTTGACACCCCCATCTTTGACGATTTTTAATTTTTTTGTTGGCTTAGCAGAATGGCTTCAAAATTTATAGGCATATAGGTAACATCATAGAGAACTCACGAAAACAAAGTCAGGAAAAAAAACTTATTTTTTGGCCCCAAAACAATTTTTGGCGGGGGCCAAACCTGGAGGTGTTCGGCCCCCGAACGGGACCCCGAACGCCCGAACGTTCGGGACCAGCCCGGGGGCCCCCGAACGTTCGGTCAGGTAACCCTGTGTATATATATATATTTATATATCGTCACAAATAGAATATATGTATATATAGGGTTACTGACGCTCGGGACGGGCCGAACGCCCGAACCTAAATACCCGAACGTACGGGACCCCTTTGGAAGGCGTTCGGCCGTTCGGGCCGAACGCGGACCCCAAAAAAAAAAAAAACAAGTTTTAAAAAACTTCGAAAAAATACTTATGTTATGGAGAAACATAAACTAAACGACATTTGCCGAGGCATTGTATCCAAATTCTTTACCAAATTTGAATTAAAAATCAAATACAGAAAATAAACACTGTGATAAAAAAAAGAAAAAAAAAATGAGAATAAAATGAGAGAGTGTGCCACCAACTTTTCGACACCGCCATATTTGCTGATTTTTAATTAGTTTTTGGCATTGACAAATGCCCTGAAAATTACATAATCAATAACTCATTAAAAAAAAATCAAAAAATAATAAATTTGTTTAGACCCCGAAATAAAGTGAAAACAAAAGTTAAAAGTGAAAAAAAACAAAATAGTGAGTGGGCGAACACGTTTTGACACCCCCGCCTTTGACGATTTTTAATGTTGTTTTGGCTCAGAAGAATAACTTCAAAATTTATAGGTGTGTAGGTTACATCATGGCGAACTCACGAAAACAAATTCGGAAAAGAAAACTTATTTTTACGCCCCGAAATGTTTTTTGGCGGGGGCCAAACGTGGAGGTGTTCGGCCCCCGAACGGGACCCCAAACGCCCGAACGTTCGGGGGCCAGCCCGGGGGCCCCTGAACGTTCGGTCAGGTAACCCTGTATATAAATATATTAAAATTTTTATTTTAAATTTGGTAACGAATTTTAATGTGATCCTGAGGCAAAAGTTGTTTTGTTTATTTTTTCTGCATAACATAGTTTTCTTCTGTATGTTTTATTTTTTATTTTTATTTTTTTTTTTCTGCGACCTTCTCTGGTCCTTGCACGACTGGGCCGCTGTCGGCGCGGATACCCTTACAAGGGTATCCGCCCTGGTTTTGGCAAGTGACAGAAAGGCTCGGTTACCTGGATTTTGAGTTCCCGTGCGGGAGAATGTGAGGGTCGTCCGCGCGCGGGCAGGGTCTGCCTTGTCCCGGTAGGGAGTATGTGGGCGCGCAATCTTAAGGCGCACGTGTGATTTTTCTGATTGAGATAGGCGGCCGGTCTAGTCGACCGGCCCGGGCCATGTTAACACTCTGATTAGGGGTAAAAGTTTGTTTTTTTTGTAGTTTTTGGTTGGTGCGCGCGACCGGTTGTAGGCCGGCGCGAACACTTAGGGGGCTGGGAGGGTAATCGGGGCGGTATCCTGGCGCGACGGGGCTCGCGATATTGCTTCATGTGGGAAGCCGCGCCTGCTAGTCACAGGCTTGGGCTTAGCCCTATTGGTTACAGCGATGGACTTGTGACATGGAGATACGGGGATCGAGATTGGCGGACGGCGGCACGGGAGCAATGGAGCGGCGAGATGTCGAGGGGTCGAGGGTCCCGCGGAACTATCCCCCTTTTTTTTCTTGTGTTTAAGGGAGCCCTACCACGGACCAGCGCCGCAAGGCTACGGGAGCAC